AAATCCATCGCTACCATCTTAATAGTATGAAAGCACCAACTAATCCCTTAATTTTCACCTAAGCGGGTTCTCGAAAACAACAACGATGGGCTTATACATGCCATCAAAATAAATCGAGCCTGGCTTAGTCTTTTAAATTAAAGAATCATTATATGCTCTGATACCAATAAGGGGGGTATGGCGGATTTTTCAGGTTTCCGTTAAACCACAAAATGAAACACATAAAGAAGGTAAAGTATACTTAYAGCGAAGTTTGACGGTTGTGAAGTAGGGAGAGTATGTGCAGCGGAGGAATTTGGAGAGTATGTGCAGCGGAGGAATTTAGAGAGTATGTGCAGCGGAATTTTTTTTTTTATATACTAAGGGATATGATATGAGGTACTGGAAAGGAAAGAGAAGAGTAAAAATAATTTAGAGAGATAGAGAGAAGGGGTTTAGTGACTCATAGGGTTTGAGAGCTATATATTTTTTATTTCTTCGTTTCGATTTTATTTTACAATGGATTCGAATGAAGGTATTTATAAACCTTCAGTGTTATCTCTATGATTACAATCGGACAATTCTATCACTGATTCTAATCACAAATGTCACCTAACTTTATCTTTAAGTTAAAAGAAACAAATACAAATTAAACATATGTAAAGTCTAAGAAACCAAAGGTCAAAAAGCCTATAAAGCCTAGTATGTTAAAGTCTAAAAGAAAACAGGAAAATGTCGGATGGAATCGTCATTGCGTTCGTCAGCTTTTCTAGACATCTCTATGTGTACTGTCGACTGATACTGGTGATGATGGATCTATATACGGATCTGAATCTGGAAATTCTCTGTTGTTGACATCTATTGGGGATATATGGCTTTCTCCGATAAATGGCAAATACATATCCCAATTATAATGTGACCAAATCTGTATGTAGTGTCCTTCAGCAAGCAACTTGTAATTATTCCATGTGAATGATACAGGTGGCTTGGGTGTTTCTTGACCGTGTTGTATCCGTGGCTCTATGACACCGTTGGGGATTACTTCATTTATATGATTAAAACAAATAGCTGTCGAACAAGCTAGCTTCTTTAAATAATTTTGTTCTTCACTTCTGTGGCTGATAAATACTCGCTTTCTGGCTGGCCTGTATGTATAACTGTCTGCTTCTGGTAATGAAGAAAAAAATTTACATCCAATTGTTGGTGTGTCCGAATAGGAGGCAATATTTCCAGCTGTTAAAATAAATTTTTCTCCAAACTTGTCGAGGAATTCTTCTGCCTTTGGATTTAAGATGAATTTCATATAATCAATCATACCATTGTGGTAAAAATTGAGAATCTGGTCTGAAGTCAAGGTTGCTTTTCTTAAATCGAGTTGTAATAACAGTCTGTTGTATACTAGAGAATTACTATGTGTTCTTTGAACTATTGTAACTCCTTTGTATTTATCTTCATTGAATGCAATGTTGATAATTTGTTGCTGTAATTCATAAAGAATGAGAGGGAATTCTGTACAAATCTTCTGTGAAATAACGCCATCCAATTCAGGAATTCGATCCAAAATTGGTTGCATTGTATGTCTCCAAGGAATATCGATAATCTTTGCTTTAAAGCTGTTGAAATCTCTTTGTAATGTTGTGTATGTTTCAGATTCCTTTTTCTCGAGTTTTGTTTGTAATTTCAAAAGTCTTTCCTCAAGAATAGAATTCTTTTGTTTGAGAATTGAATTTTCAATCTGGATCTGTGTAGACTGTTGATTTTTGCCAGATTGCATGAGCTGTTGCTGCAATTTGGCAATAACTTTTTCTTGAGCTTTAATCAGTTGCTCAGGATTTGTTTTTGCCATGTCTGAAAAAGTTTTTACTTCTTCAGGCTTTATGTAAAAACTGTTTAACCTAAAGGCTTCCCTTACACTATTCATGGCTTCAGAAAAACTGTAATAGCCTTTGAATACTGGGTTGGGACACTGTATATATTTTCCAATTGTTTCCCATTTATTGAAAATTCCAATTTTTGTTCCTCTATAAACCACATAGTGGGAAAAACGTTTTGGTTGTTTTTGAGGAGTTTGTTCAGAAAAATAAACACTTAATGCATTTAAAACCTGAACTTCAAATGATGAAGCTTGTGGCATAGTTTGAATATGCCATAGGTTGTCTAATAAGCACTGTTGTTTATCTGTTAGTTCCACTCCAATTATTGGTCGAAATTTCTTATTCATATCATAACATTTTGATAGAGGATATCTTCCAAATGTTATAATAGAATTCTTTTTTGTGTTTTCAGAGGAACTAGAGGAACTGGGACTCCATTGTTTAACCTTTGAAGGGTTAAAATGTTTTAAAAACTGTGGATCCATGATGGGATTGAACTGTTGAGGCTGTAGACAACTGTGCTGTGCATTGATGGCAGAAAGCATCAATTTATTCTCTGTATTCTCTTTGTCACATTCTTGTCTTCGTCTGAAGAAAGACTCATAAAAGATGATATACTGTGTTTTGGCTGTATGGGTTGTATCACCTTTCTTTTTCCTTTATCTAATTCGTGTGTTAAGAAATTAGTGAGTAACTTAACTGCTTCGTTTTCTATAACAGATGTGTTTTGATTGTGTTTCAAAAAATCTAAATTGCCTTGTCCACCACGCTTTCGGGCAAACTCTGATGTAWTTTGATAACGTAAGGTAGGAAAACTATAACTATGTTTACTTAAAGTAATAAAATTCCTATTGATTGTTATACCTCCATTGACACCAAAAATAAAATTTACACCAAGTACAAAATCTGTTGATTTGATATGTTCTGGATTTATGTTTACTTGTGGAATATCATATTTAATACTATAATTTCTTGCAAAATCTAAGAATTGTATTCCTGTAGGTTCTATATTTTTTTAATTTGAATTAATCTATTTTCAACTGTTCTAGTAAACAAATTATAGGTTAACTTTTTATGATATTCTGTAGGTACTAAACCATAAGAAATTACACTTTTTGTTGCTCCTGTATCTAATAATGCTGTTAAATCTAAGAATTTGTTAGTATCTAACCATAATCGGTATTGCAAATTAATCATAGTAATTGAGCCTGTAGTTTGTATAAATGTTTGTTCTTCATATTCTTGAACCATTTTATTTTCTTCTTTATGAGGTGCATCAATTTTTCTTTCTATATTATTGACCTTTTCAATTATAGTTGTTAATAAATTATCTACGTATATAACTTTTTCTTCCATATTACTTATTTTTAATTTATGTAATTCGGCTACTATTTCAAGTTTTTCAATTTTTTCATTATATACTTCAGTGTCAATTCCTTTCTTTTTAATGTCTTTATCTGTATTTAATTCAATATTAAAGACTTTTTTAAGGCAAATGTAACAAATTTCTTTAAAACATATATTACATTGTGATCTTTTATCTATACTTGGATAATATCCAGAATAAAAACATTTTATATAATTATTTCCTCTTTTATAAATCCAATTATGTTGACATTCTTCTTGTTCTATATTAACATATGTGTATGTAATTTTTGTAAGTGATTTATCTTCATCACTATATATGCTGTATATCGATTCATTATCAGAGTTGTCTGTTTCTACTAATTCTATATTGTAATCTCCTATTTGTTCTATTAAATTACTTCTTTCTGTATTTTTATTTTTATTAGCACATTTATTAGCTAAATGTTTTTCATCTCCACAAATAAAACATTTACATTTTCGTGTTTGAGGTTTTTTAACTTATCTGTTATTATAAGGTTTATATCATCTTTTATATGTAATACTTTTTCTAAGCTTTTTATTTTTATTACTATAATGACCAGATGCTTGTGGTGTATATATAGTTGTTTTACAAAATGCATAAGCATTCTTTTTTAATTGTTCTTGTAAAGCTACTTCTTTGCATTTGTCTTCTAATATACTAAATGTATAAGTTATTCTTGGACCTATTCCTAGATTTTTATTATTAGCATATTGTTGTTTCCAAATGTCATRTATATATCTTCCTAAGTCTCCTGGTAATTTTACAAAGTATTTATCACATAAATTATCATCCATAGCTTGACCTGTTTGTGATAGTAATCTTGTAAAATCTAATGTGAATTCATTTATATATTTCATGTCAGCTATGCTTAACTGTTCTAAATTTCTAATTGCTGTGTCTTGTATTAAAATATTATTTTTTGTTGGATCGACTCCTAATATAAGAGTTCTTATTTGTGATGTAAAATTATAGGGATTATCTCCTAAAGCTTTTAGACCATTAACTTTATTTGGGTCTTGTGCTTTTTTGCTTTGCCAAATACCCAGTGCTATTGGTCCTAATGTTGTTTCTAAGTAGGAAAACATATCCATACTATCTTTTTTGTTGGTTTCCCACATTCTTACTACTGTTTGTTCCCATGCCAATATTTCATCCATCCATAACTGTGGCTTCTCTTGTTCTAATAATAGCATATTAGTACTATGTATATTTCCTATAGGTAATCTTTTACCTTTTCCTATTGTGTTTGATTCTTGTTCATAATCTACAGAAGGTTTAGTCCATAATTCTCTTCCAAACTCTTCTTGTGCAGATGTACCTGGTTCTTGCCACTTTATTCTTTTCTTTGGATTTGCCATGTAGGTATCCATATGAGATTGTTCTTGTTCTTGTTTATAAAAATCTGATATCATAATTTTTTCCTGTACTATATCTTCTATTAATGGTAAATTATAATAGTTTTGTAGTTTATTATAGCTTTCTTCATATGTCATTCCTAAATTTGTCATACATTCATTTATCATGTCATCAACTTCTTCTTGTATAGTTAATTCTGTAAATTTTCTATTAATTATTTGATCTAATGTTTTATTAGTTTCTTCGGTTTTAAAAGTTGTATTTGTTTCGTTATTAGTTATATCTTCTTCTAAGTAATCAATTAAGCTATAATCATACTCTTCTTCTTCGAATTTATTGAATCCAAGATTTATAAGTTTTTCACCATCTTCATCACAATCTTCATCATTTTATGTATCATATATAGGTTCTATATCATATTCAATATTCATAAAATTACAATCTGTATTTATATTATTGTTATATTCTATTTCCTTTGGTGTATCTTTTGTATAGTTTATAAATCTTATTGTTTGTGTGCCATCTATGTCTTCGTATATAACACTTCTTTGTGGTGTTAGCATTTCATTTTCTTGTTCTTTTAWATCATCTAGTTTCCATTCTAATCCTGCTAATGCTTCAGGATCTATTTTTTCTGGATTAATCATATGTATAGATTTTGATGCTATAGTATTAACTATTCTTCAATATTTACTTTATATTTTATTCCTGATCTGTTACTTGCTTTTCCTAACACTCCTATACTTATAACTATATTATTACCTTCGTAATTTTCATATCCTTTAGTTTGTAAGGCTATTTTTATTTTTTGTAAATCATTTATGTTTTTTAAAATTCCAGGTGTGCAATAAAATAATGTTGTATTTTGACTAAGATCAACTTCCATTCCAGAGATAATTGCCTTTTTTATATCTGTTTTCCATCTTTTGTCTAATAATAATGCTAATAATTTTGTTCCTAAATTTTTGCGTCCTAATGCTTTAACTCCTATAATTACTAAGCCTATATGGGCAAAATGTTTTCCTGTTTRTTTTATTTTTTGTATTGTTTTTGGTGAAAATAATTCTACTGTTACTGTTTTATCTAATACTCTTAAGCTTTCTTCACGGCTGCTACAAATTAAAACTGTATTCATATTTAAAACTCCTGTTTGATATAATATTCTTGGATTTAAAATATCTAATTGGTGTTGATTGTATAAATCTATGTTTCTATCTAAATCTATTTCTTCTTCTATTTGGATAACTTGTTGTGAACTATTGGTTCATGATCCTCATCTCATTATTCTGTTAATAAAACTATCCAAATTTATTATATCTTGTATATTACTTGTAGAATTTCTACTTTCTTGTAGTGTTCTACTTTTTCCAAGAAAATTTCTATTCTGATTGTTCATTTTCGTGGTAACCAGTGTTTATAAGGTGTTGATTTATTTTTTAGTTTTTCTTCACCAAGGTTTATTTTACTTAGGCTACTAACTATTTTATCTATRTCTTCTTCTTTTATYGCAKATCTTAAATCTTGCTGTGAGCTTGTTTTACCTAATAATTCTTTTTTAATATCTTTTAACTCGTTTATGATTTGATTATTCTGTGATTTAATGTAATCTAGATTTTCTATAAATTTACTAATCAACTCTGTTCTTTTTTCTATAAAACTGTATATTCCGTCTAAATTTTGATTATTTCTTCTAGCTTCTTGTTCTACGTTTGTTCCAAGATTTATTATTAAATCTGTTATTCCGTTTAAATGTATGTTTTCAGAATGTAAAATATGCTTATGAGTTTTGGGGAATCTACAAACAAAGTTCTCGTTGTCTACTGAGATACTACTACTAATTTTTTCAGTAAATTCAAGATTTAAAAATTCAAGCTTTTTTAAGTTTAACGAACCTATGATTTCAAGAGTTTTTTCAATATTAAAATACCTATCTCCCTAAAATTAATTTTTACTTTCCAATCCTTTCATTAAAATTTTCTCATATCCCTTTTTATATAAGTTATAAAATGAAAGCTACATAAGATCTAAAAATAAAAGCTACATGAGATCTATTATAAAATGAAAGCTGCATAAGATTTATTATAAAATGAAAGCTACATAAGATCTATAATATAAACTTTACAGAATTAAGAAACGTAGAGAAATCCATCGCTACCATCTTAATAGTATGAAAGCACCAACTAATCCCTTAATTTTCACCTAAGCGGGTTCTCGAAAACAACAACGATGGGCTTATACATGCCATCAAAATAAATCGAGCCTGGCTTAGTCTTTTAAATTAAAGAATCGTTCTATGCTCTGATACCAATAAGGGGGGTATGGCGGATTTTTCAGGTTTCCGTTATATACATATATATATATATATATATATATATATATATAATTAAGAGTTTAGAAGGTTGGCAGTTTTAACCCCTTAACAATTACCGACCGTTATTTAAGTACGGTATAATTTGGGTAAGTTAACGAGAATGTTTTTAAAACTCGGGTCTTACACTCTCTAATTTAGAAATTATCAAGGGAAGGTAAGGCTTTTGATGTCTCACTTCTTGATCTTACTCTTTCTACAAATGATTGTCATCCTGAAGGAACTATTTTGTCCCCTCCCGAGCATGAAATATTCTTCTGCGACACGAGTAGTTGCTTTAAATTTTTCCGAGGTTCTGAGATACCTAGAGCTGATTCTCAGCTACTACGCGTGATACTCAGTATGATCAAAATTGGTGAAGCTGGAAGAGTCTTTTATACGCATATCTCAGATGAACTAAAGAAAAGAGATGTTCTTGCAATCTATGATACATATCTTATGAAAGTAGACGACGACTGCTAGCTTTTCTATGTGACTTCTTTTTCTTAAACTACTTTCTTCATTGTAAGTATTAAAATTCATTGTCTAGTTTAAATGCTTTTTATATTTCAGTATTTACTTCAAATTTTTTCATTCTTTATTTGTTTCTCTCTGATTCATTTTGTTTT